GTTGGACTTTGATTTACTGTCCTCTAGTTCATAGCCCACAGCACTTCCATTAGCCCTCTCACTGCCCGATGATGAAGAAGACGCCGCACTCTTCATGTTTGACGAGCTATTCATTGCATAAACAATGCATTAATTTTTTTTATTAATTTAGTTTAATTCAATTATATTTTAAATTTAAGTTCAATTAAAGTACGCTCAAAACAATTAGAAGTTTGTAAAACTTATAAAACACGTATACTGTAATAATACTGTACGTGTATAATGAATATGACAAATATTAAATATTCAATAATTCAATGGTAACTTATTGTAACAAAATTTTACGTCAAATAATCATTTTGAAGATTCAAAACAAAATGTAATATTTTTAATAAAACTAATTATTAAATGATAAAAATTGCGAATGACTGCTACAGTTCTATTGGTTATTATAGCGAATACCTGTTCATATAGTTCTCTAGTTAAATGTCAATTTGTTGAGAGATACCAAAGACTACACTAATAAATGGCATAAGTAGTGAAAGGAATGCATACATGGCTTAAAGTATTTGAAAATTAATAAATTTTTGTGGAGTCTAATGTGTTAAGCAATATATTACACGCTAGCACTCCAGAGGGGTTAGATTTAAGATTTAAGCTTGAAGAATTAAGTGGATTAGTGTAGTTAATCACTGGTTGTCCCGTTGTTTTGTTCAATTGTCTCCTATTGAACCTCATCTTTGATAAGATCAACAATTTATTCATTGCTCGCATTCTTTTGGTACTCAAAAGTAACAGTAATTTTACGATCATTTTATGACTTTTGAGATAACATATTAATGGGTGTTTAATTCAGATAGCAATTGAATCAATATTTTTATTATTATTACTATTGTATAAAAATGTAGTTGTATTGTGCTAATAGTTATGGTTAACTTATGCGATAACTAATCCATAAAATGAATTCGTAGGAAATGTGCTAAATATTTAAGTAAAATAATATTTGCATTTCAATAATCAAATCAATCTATTTTTGNATAAAAATATTATATTAATATAACTTAACTTATAATGTATTTATATTTTGAATTCTTTAAGAATTGCCGGTATAAGGAAATTATTGAATTATAAAGTTATTTTCACGACTTTGGTTTCGTTTAAATTTGTATGAATTTGCTTTAAATTTGAAGGAAATATTCATAAATAAATTGGGAAGATATTAAAATTAGTTTCCTTTAAAATTTTGCGTATATTTCATTCAATTTCTCAATCATTCAAGTGATTGTAACAAATGGTGACGTTTTTTGAAAATCCTTACTAAAATAGATACTAAAATCAAATATTGTTTAAACAAACTTTTATCTAAAATAATACCCACAAAACTGAATAAACATTCAAAATGAAAGTTTTCATATTATGGTTGCATTATTTCATTTTTATTTACCTCTAGTTTTGTGACTTAACTTATATTTAGAAAATGTGTATTTCTTGATACATATGTACAGTAAGTTGGGATTATTTTTATGCTTAATATTTAAGTTATTTAATAAATCCTTAAAATATTGTTTAAACTCTGAAAATGTGAAGATATACTTAGAAATACACGATTGAAGTGTTGTTTGAAAAGTATTCGTTATATTGTCTCGAATTTTGTTTCTAATGATAATTCTAGCCTTTGGCTGCTTTTGAAAATAGTAATGCAAAACTTTTAACATTACGTAAAACGACTGTCCTGACGTATTATACGAATTATAACTCGTAATGTATTCTGATGTAAGGATAGCAAACACTCCAAGTGACTGAGCTGAGTTCTTATAAAGCAAGTTAAGAAGCATTGCTTAAATAATACAAAAAAAGTAAAAACAGGATTTGAAGCCCTTTCCCAACGCAGCTATGATTTGAAAGCAATCATTTCTTATACACTATTTTATTGGTAGTTCTGTGTATAATAGATGATTGCCTACCAGTGCTCGTTTGGCTTCAATAAGCATAGGGTTGAGGTGTTAGCGCTCGTATTCACTTCTCAAAGCTCTCAAACAACGTTTATACACGCCTTGGAACTTTTCCAGCATACCCAACTCCGGCACAGGAACAGGAGGGACACGGATTGGAAATTAATCGATTTGCTAACCTAACAGTCGGTCCCAATTACACTTAGAGTATATTAAAATAGCTATAAATTGAAGACTAAAGTAATTTTGAAACCTCAGCTCATTTGTAGCTAAATATTGAGATAATTGTAAGCAATAGAGAGTAGAAGTGAGCGCTTGGATGCCATACACCGACTAATTGATGATACAGTGGTGTCACGAATACAGTTACCATCTCAGGCCAGATGTGACTCTCAATTAGCATAAACTTATTGTTTGTCTTGAAGGACACAATACTATGCAATATATGGTTGTTTTGTAACAATTGAATTGAATATTATTTTAATAAACCGTAGACTGGCTTACAATTGCCAACAGAATCACGCATTCAAAAAGTTTATTACTTATAATTATTAGCCTTTTCTGTGTTCACCCACTCTTTAATATGATTTTCATTGCCAACTTCGCAAACAAATTAATTTGATATTTAATTTAGTAATTTTACTTTCAATTTGCATTTGGTTCCACCTCTTCATCTATACTATACTATAGATTCTATAGCTATACGTAATAATAGTTATATTTCAGAAGTGTTTAGTGTTTAGTTCGTTGATTATATTATTCATTCAATTATGAATTAAATGATTGAATACTTTTTCGTTCAATTTCTACATTTGTTTCCTCGTTTTGAAAATCAAGTCAAACCAAATGATTTTGATTTGAAAAGTTTACAATTGATCTGCATTAGGTATTAATACCTCTGTTACCAGAATAATTTACAGTTCATTTACCACGGTTTTCACTCTATACTCTATTGTTATAAAACTTTACAATAGTTATTCATTTTATTCACATCTTATCACTCATATCATACATACATTCATACATTGAATAATTTATTATTGTTGATGAGTGTTGCTATAGCGGCTAAATCTAACATTTAAGTTAATGTTGAATATTATGCAATGTATGGAGTCTTATGGGACGAGCGTTGGTTTGCTGTCAGATAAGGCAGTCATTTGATTGAAAAACTGTGTCTTTTGTGGTATAAATAAGTCTTTAACAATGAATACAAATCCGTAAGTCTTGTTATTTTGTTTTCTATTCATAATTAGAGAACTCAATCCCAACTCTCTTTCCTTAGTAACTGAAAAGTTTTGAAAAATCCCAAAATCCTAACTTCAAACCTTCATAACTTGTTCAGTTACTTAAACGACAAAATGATTACAATACCTGTGCGATAATATATAAAAATATACTGTACATAGTGTTACCTAAATTCATAATACTGTTTGTTAGTTACGAGTTTATTTGTGGATTAGTTTCCTTTACTCCTGTGTCAACATAATAAATAAATAAATAAATAGTTTTATTAGATTAAATATTTATTTTCAAAACCTCGATTAATTATTTTTAAATTCATAATTCATGATTGAAGTTATAAATTATAATTTAGACTAACAAATATTATAAATGTATAAAATATACGATGACATTCAAAAACACTACTAAAAGAAAGTTAACTTTTTTGCGTCATGTGTTGCAAACTTTGCAAAAGTTTTATTATGAATAAATGTTATGAATTTCATTATTCTATAAGTTCTGCACTGTTTTCAAATGTTTGAATTTCAAATGTTTTTGAATCGCTTTTAAGGTAAAGTTGAATAATTTTCTGTATACATACAGTAATAGTGATTAATAATAATAACTTCAATATTTTTTGCTGCTTTCAAATTATGTGCTATTATATTTCAAAACTGATTATTTTGTTTTATATTTAAGCGATGAATGTGTAGTTTATATTAAAAATACTGTGCATTCATTTGATTGAATGCTTATTATAATGACTTCAATAATAGCTAATAATAATAAATGTTTTTATAAAAGCGGCACTCCTTTTGACAATAAGTCTTAAAAATAAACACAAATATTTTATTTGGTGTCAAAAATAGATTGATTTGATTATTGAAATGCAAATATTATTTTACTTAAATATTTAGCACATTTCCTACGAATTCATTTTATGGATTAGTTATCGCATAAGTTAACCATAACTATTAGCACAATACAACTACATTTTTATACAATAGTAATAATAATAAAAATATTGATTCAATTGCTATCTGAATTAAACACCCATTAATATGTTATCTCAAAAGTCATAAAATGATCGTAAAATTACTGTTACTTTTGAGTACCAAAAGAATGCGAGCAATGAATAAATTGTTGATCTTATCAAAGATGAGGTTCAATAGAGACAATTGAACAAAACAACGGGACAACCAGTGATTAACTACACTAATCCATTTAATTCTCCAAGCTTAAATCTTAAATCTAACCCCTCTGGAGTGCTAGCGTGTAATATATTGCTTAACACATTAGACTCCACAAAAATTTATTAATTTCCAAATACTTTAAGCTATGTATGCATTCCTTTCACTACTTATGCCATTTATTAGTGTAGTCTTTGGTATCTCTCAACAAATTGACATTTAACTAGAGAACTATATGAACAGGTATTCGCTATAATAACCAATAGAACTGTAGCAGTCAACATTGTTTATGCAATGAATAGCTCGTCAAACATGAAGAGTGCGGCGTCTTCTTCATCATCGGGCAGTGAGAGGGCTAATGGAAGTGCTGTGGGCTATGAACTAGAGGACAGTAAATCAAAGTCCAACAGCAGAATGAGTTGTGCGAGTGATGACAGTTGTGCTATCAATGAACTATTGGAGGGACGTATGGACCTCACTGTGAAACTGCCTAAAAATGGTAGTCCTGTTGTGATTAACGTCGAAAGACGGACACCAATGCTTGACTTATTGGTCAACATATCTACTCAATACCGGTTCAATGCCGCCAATTATACCATTAATGCCGGTAATCACGAATTTAAGGCCAGTACTCCTATCGGCACTCTCGATGTCAATCAGATCGCAATTATTCCTAAACCTATTAAAAGCAATTCACTAAAAAGCAATAGTCCTTCGGCTGTACCCTTTCAGACGACATTCAGACTACAGGTTAATTTACCTCGAAATCAACTGATGGTTCTTAGGGTTACACCCAATGCCACGATTGCTGCCATTAAGCAGATTATATGCAGTGAGAAAGCACTGGACGCTAATAAATACCAATTGGTTCGGTTCGCCGGCAATAGTGAAGGACCCCATGTGTTGGACCCCAACAAGACTTTGGCCTTCTATACACTCAACGAAGTGACTCTCATATCAAGCAAATCACTCTCACAAATTGAGATGCAATACGGGGCCACTACCACCCAGACACAGGTTGACATGTCTCCCTCGCCCGCCAGTGTCTCTGTCAATAAGATTCAAATGAATTCAATGATTATAAGTCAATCAAATCCAGACATTAGGACTATAGATGAGAAGTCAGTATTAAATCACACGACAACTGGGAAGCAGCAAAAGAAACGACAGGCGCCCCCTCCGCCCAAACACTCGTCCGCCACTCTTCCCAACAGAACATTGCCGACAGAAATGAATTCATATAAAGAGGAGAAAAATGTGACAAATGTGCAGAAAATGGAGACAAATGAGAAAAGTGGTGATCGATTGACTGAAACTATAATTGAAGAGAAACCAGTGCTTAAAGTCCCCCAAAACAGTGTCTCTCATATGCGACAGAATTCCGGTTCGGATTCGAGTGGTTATCACGAGTCAGTGCTCAGCAGTAGTGACTCTCCGGAGTCCACTTCGGCCACAACTGCCGCCAAATCAAGTTTAATGACAACAGAGATATCTAATGTCAATAATACTAAGTCAGGCACTAAGTATTAAATCACACGACAACTGGGAAGCAGCAAAAGAAACGACAGGCGCCCCCTCCGCCCAAACACTCGTCCGCCACTCTTCCCAACAGAACATTGCCGACAGAAATGAATTCATATAAAGAGGAGACAAATGAGAAAAGTGTTGATCGATTGACTGAAACTATCATTGAAGAGAAACCAGTGCTTAAAGTCCCCCAAAACAGTGTCTCTCATATGCGACAGAATTCCGGTTCGGATTCCAGTGGTTATCACGAGTCAGTGCTCAGCAGTAGTGACTCTCCGGAGTCCACTTCGGCCACAACTGCCGCCAAATCAAGTTTAATGACAACAGAGATATCTAATGTCAATAATACTAAGTCAGGCACTACTAAGAAACGTCGCGCTCCACCGCCACCCCCTTCCACACTACAGTCAGATCCAGAACCAGTGAATGCCATTAATGGCAAACTTAATGATTTGAGTTTAGATGAAAGCAAAGCAGTTCTCAATGCATGAGTGATGTGAGTCTTCCACTTTCCACATCGTCCTCATCGAGTGGCACCGCCTCCTCTATCAATAACAGAAGTCTTTCCCCTATTGTCATCACACAAACCAATGGTTCGTCAACACCTCTGCAGATATCCCTCGACTCCAGAGATACTTCATTGGACTCGGAGTCAGGATTGCAATCATTGACTAAATCGGAGGAACATTCTGTTGAATGCCAACCAAATGAGACACAAAATGACAACTCTTCGGAAAATAGAGACAATAAAATTGAAATAAAAGAAACGACAGATATTTCATGCGATTTCAAAGAATCGGATCATTCAGACAACAGTTCTCTAAAAAGTTTAGAAACAAAAGGGAATCGAGAGGAAGAGGCATCAAGTGTTGATCCATTGGAGGTGACTATTATTAGCAAAGACACAAACAGTGAATGTCAAGACATTAGCCTCAGTCTAAATGCAGACCAATTAGAGCCTCCATTAACCACTGGAACTACTTTAGAGGCAACAGAGAGCCAACTTAAAGTTGAAGTCAATTGTATTTCTTCGGCACCTAATTTCAATGACAATGAATGTGAAGCACAGGTGATGGCAAGGGATATATGCACTGAAAATACAGGTTTGAATGCTTTATCTATGATATTAGTGTCTTAAGTGTTGCTAAACTTGTCATTCAATTGTCTTTGAGTCCTATAGACTATAGAGTATTATTTTTACATTATGTCTACAATTGCTTGCATGACATTAATGTCAATCATAGAACTGGCTATTTAAGTTCTAGGTCATATTTAGATGAGATATGTAAGGATTAGATGCATGACATGACATGTGATGGAAATCTCAAATTTCTATTAACTGGTCTTTAGTGCACTTGCATTGCAATGACAATTAAATTACCGAAACATTAGCACTTGTTATTAAGTTATTACACTTTATCTTCATTTAAATTATAATAAATTTATGTTTGGTTGGACTTCTTATATAATATGATAGGTCTGTGAATCATAATACTGTATTCGTGATGAATATACAGACAATTCAGGTGATGGCAACGCTATTAAATTTGCTTTAAGTAATTATTTGACATTCGCTGTCATACAGTATACCGCACAGTATATAAATTTTTACATCACATTACCATTCATTATCACTTAATGTTGAAAAGCATTTAATAATTATGAAACACAATTCCAAACCATTATTGCCTTAAATGATAATAAATTCTTTGGTTTCTCAGTTTCCTTAAATAATCTTTACTCAAATCTCAAACCCCAATAAATCCTAATTTATATTCTTATTATGAATTCACAAAAGCGTGTATCGAGTGTAACATTGAGTGTAATGATGCTATCATTAAGTTATGCAAAGTTTTCAAAATATTAGTTTTGTTTAAATTTATCTTAGATTTGCATAAATTCTTGTTTCTTTAACATTTAAAAATCAAATGAATGCAAAAAAGCTAAATAAATATTACTTTCCAAAACAGCGGACAATGAGACAGAGGCAGAGTTAGGGGAGATGGCGATGATGTCAATGCCATTACCGCCGCCGTCGCCCTTCCAGAACAGCAATCACGAAGAGAACAGCTCTTTGCATGACTCGAGTGAGGGTCAGACCATTCAAGAGATTAGTCGTGAAGTGAGCGATAATTTTAAGGACGAATACATTTCTAGTGAACAATCGATTAATAGTTATGAAAGTTTGCAAACAAAAGACGAAACAATCGTTAAGTCAATAGAAACGACGGCAACGAGCGATGGCTATAAACAGGATGAAAGGGAACCGATTGTTGGCGACGATGACTCACTCGACAGAGAAATTGAAGTAACCTTACAGTCGCTCAATGATGAGTTGGATCGACTCGACTCGATCGACCACATCGAGAGCCAACTGTCCGCTGATGAACAGTCACTGCAAGCAATCCAAGTGAACAATAGCTCACAATCTACTGATTCCGACAATACTATCAATAATAATAATAACGTTAATAGTGTTGACAGACAAACAAAAGATGAAACAAACAATACCACAAATGTCTCGGTTATAGTGAAACCAACGAATAGCAGTACTCCTGCTATGGAGACCATTAGAAACCAATTCGAGAGACAATCGCCAACCCCTTCGCCCACACCCAGAGTTATATCACTCGACAATAAAAGTAAATCCGTTGCGAACCACAAAAGTGAAGCAGAACTTAAAGTTTCATCCAATGGTAAAACCACTGTAATTATCAATACGAGTGAAACATCGACTCCGCCGCCACCGCCTCTTTCGCCGATATCATCCACTTCTATGTCTCCGAGTCCTACAAACGAGGATAAGGTGTCGATCACCGACGAAGTGAGACAAGTGTCACGACCGCGCGTTAAACTCACAAACTTTTCCATTGGTTCCTATAAGAAAGAAGTAGACATTTTTGAGGACAGCCCTAAAATATGGAGAGCAAACGCGCCCTCGACCGCACCCGCACTCAAATCTGGCACAAAGTCGGTCGTGACGTTCCCTTCTGTGAAGAAAGACGAGAAAATGAGGCCTTCTATCAATCAAAACACATCAAAGGTTAACATAACATCCACTTCCACTACCATTTCCACTACAACTCTCCCTAAGCCGTCGTCACCTGTTATACAGACTCTTATAACAAGTGCGCCCAAAATCAATCGAATCCAATCATGGAGTGGACACAAGAATGTTGGCTTTGATGATAAAAAGATCAAAGAGTCGGTTAAGACAAATGAGAGGTATGTCTCGCAGATTGCCATTAATAGAGATACAGTTCCCACGCCAAGTTCAACGCCAAGTCCAACGCCAAGCAAAGAATCGGATGAAGGATTAAGATCGCCTCAACTCGTTGTCCAATCGTTGATTGCAAGAAATGAGGAGAGACTGAATAGGTCGCCCTCTCCTAAACTAATACCACAAAAAGTGGAACCAATACCACAAAAAGTGGAACCAATACCACAAAAAGTGGAACCAATACCACAAAAAGTGGAATTAAAACCACTAAAAGTGGTATCAATACCGCCAAAAGTGGAACCAATAGCACATAAAGTGGACCCAAAACCAGGGAGAGTGGAGCCAATGAAAGGACATACAAATACTACTAATACTAATAACACTACGATTTCCATAAAAGCCGGTTCAGAATCTGTCATTAGATTCAATACTAAACACAATTTGGATAAAATTAATAACGAAATTAATTCTAAACAGAATAACTCACAGAATAATTATAAGCCATCAGATTTTAAATTAAAGACCAATCAAACAATACAATCAAATAAAGCTGCTAAAGAGGAACCCCCGAAAATGTCTACAACACCATCATCACCAGTGCCACCACCAGTGCCGCCACCAATACCCCCACCAGTTCCACAGAATATTCCTTCATTTAAGAGCAATACTTTGCCCAAAAACCCGGTCAATACAAAAATATTCCACACAAAGGGCTGGAGTAGTGATAAAGCCGTGCGAAGCGGTGAAGTGCCAAAAGTAAAACACGTCGAACCGCCCAACAATTCGGTCAATTCGGTCGATGTTAGGGACCAACTGCTCAACGATATTAAAAATTTCGGCGGAAAGAACTCACTTAAAAAGGTTTGTGTTTTGCTTAAAAATTGTTAATCATTTGGAAAACAACTCATTTTGTTGTTCACATCATTATAGGTATCGAAGAACACATCGTGGAAACTGGAGGTGAATGCCGTCAAGACATAGCCTCAACATTATATAGATTTGCGTTACTATTTTTAATCGTTTAACAGATTTTTAACAAAAAGAAAAAATATATTTATCAAAATAAAATGTCATTGATTTTTATTTTACTTTAAACTGCAAGTGTTTGAAATCTAATTTGTTGCGATGTTTCGGATCCATGAAACATGATATGAAAAGTCTAATAGCGGTGGCAAATGAGTCCTTATTCGGGATTTTCGATAATATCTGTTGAATGAGGTCTTCGTCTTCGAGAATCGGCGACAGAACGCGTCGAATGAAACGAACGAAAGTCTTGTTCATATCAGTGAAGTGGACCACCTGTTCATCGATTGTATAATAACGTCAATTCATGTAGATTTGAGGCACCAATGGTTTCAATGAATGATTGATTGGTTGCTTACCTTCAGACAAGTGATGGGAAGAGCATTCAACTTCAGTAAATCAAATACCAGTTGAGACAAAACCAACTGTTCGTTGGCTTCAAGTGAATCCAATTCTGATATTTTGTCGCGAATTGAAAAGTTGAGAGCAATCTGTTTGATATAAATCATTATTATAACAAAATCAACGTTTAATTCATTGTTGTATTGACTGACTTTAAATTTTCGGTCGCATTTACTCAAGTGTTGAAACAAATGAGAATAAAATGGATTGAAATGTTTCTCATGTATAGCGACGTGAAGCAAAACATTAGTCACTTCTGAGAACTGCTTTTTGCCGATTGATAGCAAACGTTGCGAGGCATCGATGTAGTCATTGGAGGCCGAGAGAGCCATCACTATATCCCTTCTCAGAGGCGTGTTTAGCCTCAAAGCTTTCACCAGCCGTTCATTGGTCTGAGAGTCGACTGTTTTATTGAAATTCAGATTTGTTTGCTTTTTGTCTAAATTGATTGCATCGAAGTTTTGTGTGAATGAATACCAATGAGAACTCTTGAGAATAGCTGAACAACTGCCAGACATGCTATGGACTCTCGATTTCTTGATTGTACTTTTCAGTGTATTTTCAATGAGTTTGACGTCCACTTCAGTTCCGTATCCTTTAAATTTAGTCATATTGTTATTCTTGATAGCCATCAGTGAGTCCAACAAAAAAGTAATTCTGGTTCCGCTTAAACTGTTTTTGTCCACATTTTTCGCCTCATTCTGTACTCTAACTATAAATTCTTTCATTTTAATGGCACTATCTTTACGTAATATAAATCCAACAGATTTGAGAATCAAATTAATTAATTCAATGGATTTTTCAGTAAAATTGTCGCAGAATTTCATAAGAATTTCATAAATAAGTGACAAATCAATTAAACCGCAAACATATAGGTTAACAATAAGCAACACTAAATTATCCATTCTTTTGGTCTCATTGGTTGACATTTGCTTCAGTAAGTCATCAAATATGACAACTAATGAATGGATGGCGTGTCCGCCCACTTCTTCGCCGATAACAGTGTGCAGAATAGCGATCAGAATCGACACTTCGGTCGTCAGCTTTTTCGATGAGTTAAACTCCAAATCAATTAATGAACTCTTAATGCATGTAAAGAGGGCTTCATTCACATCATGTCTACTGTTTTGTTCAAACATTTGTCTTATTTGGGAACTAATTGTCATCACATTATTAACAGTCAATCGATTCAATGCTCCCCTCATTTGTCTCAATAACTGATTGCTAACAGAACTGTCAATTGGTTTCTTCAGATCAGGACTTTGTTTCACTATATTTCCAGAACCGTCGCGAATGAAGCCATAGATGTCTTCCTTTAACTCATTAGTTGTCTTCTTCTCCTTCTCTTCAGTTTCACTCTCTTCTTCTGATTCTTCACCCAAATTGTCATCGCTTTGCATGTCTTCTGATCCCATGTCCTCGTCTTCAACCTCTTCGTCAACATCTGATTCGTTGTCAAAATTGTCGGAATCATTCACTTCATCCAAATCCTTGGCATTACTCTCGGAATCTGATTCCTTATCAAACTTATTGTCATTATTGTCGTCAAACAATTCCAAGATATAGCCCAATCCATCCTCTTTGAAAGACTTGGGAAGTGTTGCCACTCTTTTGCCATTCTTTTTGCGTCGATTCAGTTTCAACTTCTTCTCCAATCTCTTCACTTCTTTCTCTTCCCTTTCAATGTCTCTCTTCTCTCTTAAAGTCAATTGTCTTTTATTTACTTTTGGTTTCACTTTCCTATCCTTTTTTATGTCATCTTTTGCCTCCATTTTATGGTTCTTCGGTTCAACGGTTGGTGTCATGTCTTGGACCACATCTTCAGGTGTTTTGTTTGATTTCCTCAATGAATGCAAATTTCTTCTCATTTTCTTCTCTTTTCTCGCATTCTTTCGTTCAATCCTTCGGCTCTTCATCGCAATCACTGGTTATTAACAAACATATGATGAGACTGAAGGCTATTACTGTATATTGTATCAAAAGTATCCAAAGTATCCAAAGTATCCAAAACCACAATCAAATGACAACTAAATGAAAGCACAATTGACTGCAAATTCATTTGGTGTTCAATACGTGAACGTAAACACAACACAAACACGTGTTTGACGTCAACAACAATACAAGTGTTGAATGAGTGGCGGAATCTGTTATTTGAAGGCATTATTCAGTCAATCAGTTGTTTATCATTCAAAATATTATTGTTTTATTAAATTACAGTTACTTTTGATTAAAGTTTTATAATTTATTAGTTGTTATAATCCATGAGTTTCTATAGATTATCGTTTGCACGCTTTGGACACCGATTGGATTCACTGGTTGTCAACAAACCAAACAAATGGTTAGGTTTGACATCAGTGAGGATGTTGTCGAAGAAGATCTTCGATGATTCGGATCCCAAGACCAAAGAGATCAAGAAAGAGCTGACAGATCTGAAGGACAAGGAGTTGTACAGCGAGTACTCCCAGTCAGAGAAGGGCTGGGTTTACGACAAGAAGCCATTCAAATACTTATGCAAAGAAGGAAAGGCATACCTCTGGTGTAGTTGTGGACGAAGTCATAGACAGGTATTGAATGACAGATACAGTGGTGTTTGAAATCACATCAAAAGCTTTAATAATGATTAGTATATATAAAGTGAATGATTGATAATAAAAGGTATAATACAATAGATTTACTGCAAATCACTCGATAAATACCTAAAATTGAGATAATTATAAATGACTACATATTTAGCATTTGATAGCAAAAAGTATTGAAACAATCAATGGTTTGATTTGAAAACAAATATCACGCCTTAAAACAATAGATCATAAATAATATAATGAATGATTTGTTTTGATGTGTCAGCCCTTCTGTGACGGCACTCATAAGAACCATCATCTGAAGATCACTCTGAAACCGATCCGATGGGACTGTAAGGAGACTAAGGAGTACTGGTTTTGTAACTGCAAACAGACGGCGCACCGACCCTTCTGTGACGGCTCTCACAACAGTGAGCCCGTCCAGTCGGGACAGTCGACCATCAGGGACGCCAACTCTCCCCCCTTCGTGAACACCACCGTTATTGTCAAGAAATAACATTTAGTCTGAATTAGGGTTACGGCCAACACATCAACACAAGAGACAATCTATAGATTATTACAAATCAGTTTCAGTTTACATACAATACAGTGTATATCCATATTATTATATAAACACGAGAAAGTGAATCCAAATATGAAAAACATTGATTTTTAACTCATAATATGACTCAACATTTGCTCTAATACTGAGGCTATGTATGAATTTGTGACGAGAGATCGCAAACATTGGTTTGCAGTGAAATGACAAATTGAGGTCTTTTCGTATTCAATTGTTTGTGATTTGTTTGTCAGTTATCGACAACTAATTAAATAAAAACTAAAATCAATCGACAAATAAATGTCTAAAATCTATTCAATTGCTTTAGCGATGAAGTCATAGAATCGTTTGGCGTATTGTTCCGGATGTACGGTTGAGATTTCAGCGGTGGTCCCGTGTTTTACTGTTTTGGCCGCCTGTGCCGTACGCTTACGTAACCCAAACTGTGTCAACACATCCACTAAACCAATGAAATATATCTCGCGTTTAGGACTCTCTGCAAAACAAATCACATTCAAGTCATTCAAACTTCATGTCTGTCACTAAGACTCACCAGTACTCGACTGAATGGCGTAGATATCTCTGGAGGTGTCGATAGTGATACAGAGTGGGAGGTCATTCTCACTGGCATCGGATGCCTTGTGGTGAGTCTCAGGCGAATCTGGAGGGGTGGGTACGGCTGCGTGTGGTTCCTGAGAGTCGGTGCGGTCGCCACCACTGGACTCACCCTCGTCTTCTTCGGCGGACTGGTGTTTATCGTTGGGTCCGCACTCCATGAGCTCCTGTTCGGCTCGTTCTGCGTCATGAATGGCCACACAGAGGGAGTAATCCATGATATTCTTCTTGACCAGGAAGGCAGTGTCCGCCTCCAGCATCTCCAAGAACTTCTGTTTGCGCTCATCGTTCATGAATATGCGAACGCCATCGCGGGTGAAGTCATTGTCTTTGAACACCGGGTTATCCCTTCCCCTCTCCTTTTCAGAGGCCTCGCGATCGACAGTCGAGCCCTTGAGATCATACTTGCGGTGAATGTTGAGACCAGAGGAACAGATGTTTCTCATGACACAGATATAGGTTTCTGTGCCCTCGACTGTCAACCGATACATTCCCAGGTATTGTGGAAGTAATGTCTTGCCGTGTCTCTCGACAATGTATGGGTGATACTCCTTAAGCAAGTGATGCATTGACTCGACCTCATCGCTGGTCAGCGTCTTGAGGACGAAGAGGTGGTCGTATGACTCGTAAAACTTAGCGCCAGAGCGTCCGCCGCCGTTGCGAACGATGGGCTGGTATTTGGTGAGTGAATTGACGTAATCGATGTCATCGATCTGGAAGCGGTCCCTGAGGTTCTGAAAGACGAGGGGACAGTACTCCTTGACTTTGAAATGTGAGGCCATGTTCTCCTTATTGAACAAATGGTTGTCTACTTTCACTTTCGTATGCGCCTTGAAGTCGTCCGGCATCAGCACCACCGGTGTGTTCACGTGTGTCAGCTCATGGATCGTGTGGTTCACGCCCCACATGAACACCGACAGCAACGGCTCCGACGCCCGGAACAGCTTCGCCTTCTGGTGCTTCGGCTTAAACCGCTTCGTCTTCGTCTTCATCGGCTTAAAACTCGACTGATTTGAGAACGACATCCTCTCAACCCCACTATCACCGAGGATCCGATCGCACTGTTCAATGAGTATTCAGTATATGGTCTCAAAGCCTATTGGCATGACGTTCAGCACCAGTAGTACAGGAATTCCTATCGATTTTGTCGCTTTCGTCAATTGATTGTCAAATACAATGCATTGGAAATGAGTGTCATATCAATGCATACATTCACTCCTTATCTCACATACAAAGTGTCATATGTTTCACGAAATCACTATATCTTCAATCCATTCAAATGCAAACCAATGTCTCATTCAGTCACGAGTATCCACACAATTGTCACCAATTGGTCCATCAGATCAATCACTTATGTTATCAATTCATTGACAATCACTTCATTACTTCATTACTGCCACCAATTGTTTGCACTCAACGTAACACTCTTATGGTCTGATTCAACACTAAATCACTGAAATGTATAACAAATTGCTTTAAATACCAAAAGTAATCATGAGTTTTGAATCAAATGTTATAATTATGGCATAAATATGTGATTAATAGGTGTTTGTTATGTATTTCATGCAAACACTACTCATTACACTGTAATAGACTGTAATCTTAAGCATAATTTTCAGCTCAATATACTGTATTTAATACTGTATACAGTAGTACTGTATACTTAACATTACCAATACTGTCATTCACAGCAATACACAACTCTTTGCATTCAAAACCCATTAACTGTCACATCAATTGCTATACAGTTAACGCATTTTCACGAATACATTGAATTTGATAAACACTGCTAACAAAGGGAGACATCTGTCGGTCAATTGGAGAGACATTTGTGTCGCAGTCATAGAGAGTGTTGACTTCACTACCAATTACTCACTGGCTTTGCACTCAATTTAATTGTCTCTGTGTTTGTAATTAACGCCAATTTGTTGTCAAACTATATATAACACCATTATATGAGTAACTGATGTGTGAAACGAGTGCAGAGTTGCAGTGATTGTCAGCTAAGAGGGGACAGACATCTGGAGTCCGAAAGCGAGTCTCTCTACGAAAGTGACGCCAAAAGCGCTTGAATTCAATATAAAGTGTTTTGATTTGCTTTTGAATCAGTATTTCATTTGCGGACCACTTCTTCCGCATCGATCGCCATATGAACTCATAGTTGGTCTCAATGTCTGAATACTCGATGAGCGATGGTTTGGATCCGTGNAATACTCGATGAGCGATGGTTTGGATCCGTGTGTGGAGACGACCCTCAGAGGGCACCGACAGTCGATTAACTGGCTTTCCTTCTCGAGTGATGGCAAACAACTGGTCTCCGGTTCGGACGACAATCACGTGATGTTGTGGTCTCTGGACGACAAGCAGTCCATCTGTTACCGACTGGTGGGCCACTCGAGTGCCGTCCTATCGGTGGTCTTCACCGCAGACTATCTGTTGTCGTCTTCGAAGGACTGTTCGGTGCGCTTATGGCGTATGAATCGGATTAACGGGAGATTCCCGGAGAACGAGTCCGTCGTCTATCGCTGCCACTCGTCGTCCATCCGTTGTGTGGACGCCAACGCAGACGCCAATCAGTTCTGTACGGGAAGTGACGACAAGACTGTCAAGATCTGGTCGCCCGTCGCCACCAATAAGTTCATCGCCAGTCTGTCGGGAGTGCACACCAATTGGGTCCGGCATTCAAAGTACTCGCGACTCAATCCACATCTGATCGCCTCTTGTGGTGACGACGGATTGATTGCCGTTTGGGACATACGGACCAAAGAGGCCGTCATTCAGTTGACATCCCGACGCAAATCAACTCATTTTATTTCACTCCAATGGCACCCAAACTGTGAACATATCATCTCATCTTCGAGTGCCGACACATCCATCAGAATCTGGGACTTAAGGAAGGAGAAGATGATTCAATACTATGCCGCACATACCGGTGCCGTCAACGCCACGGACTTCCACCCGTCTGGCAATTATCTGATTAGCGCCTCATCTGATGAGACGTCAAAGATATTTGATTTACTGGAAGGCAGGGGTCTCTTCACTCTGAAGGCACACAACGGCGCTGTCAACACCTGTGCGTTCACTCCCGATGGCCAGTACTTCGCCACCGCTGGCTTTGATAAGCAGATCATGATATGGAAGAGTAATCTCATGAATGGCGTCGATCGCAGTGAAGACATCCTTGAGTTGGACGAACACATCAACGAACCATTCGATGCATACTATCATCAAAGAGATCATCAAAGAGAACCGATTCGGCCGACGAGCCATTCAACGCCTCAATCCTGTAAATCAAACAAAATTCAAACACCGGTTATGAATGCCATGAATGGCTTAAAAATTCCTCTCAAGTCAGCTCTTCGACGGTCCAGTTCTGAAGAGATTAAGTCAACGACTACTCCAAAGCACACGACTCCCAAACACACCAATCATTGGCGCGAAAGAGTCGGTTCCAGAGATCGCATCGATAACAGTGGAGACCATTTGAATTCAGCCAACACTGAGTCCATTACTCAGGCTTTTATCAATCAACTGAAGACTCTAACGGACAGTGTTTTGCTAATTGAAGAGCGATTGTCAACACTGGAGAATAAGTTTGAGTCTCACTGCACCGCACAGTCAGCCCACGGCTCCAACAGTGGATGAATTTTAGAGATTTAAATATCAATAATTTGTTAGTTTTATCAGAAATTTAATTCATTTTAGATACCATTTAAACAAATTTCTCATTAATTACTCTTAAAAATTGATTTTTAACTACTGTTTTGAATTTTGAATACCATTTAATAATATCGAGTCTTCGCTGTATTTTGTACTCTAAACTCAGTGTCTGTTCATTGTTGAGAATATTTGGTAAATCTTGTGTCCAATTAGACACATAAATGAAGGGCGCCTTCTGTTCCTTCAGAAGTCTAAATGCAGTCTTTGAGTCACAATTAGTTTTCTTCAGATGATTGACATTCTCTTCGATGACGGGAACCGATCCGTAGGCCATGGCTTCGAATATTCGATAGCATTCGTGATTCATTCCCATTGGACTCAATGTTAAGTCACTTAAGCGCAACGCTTCCACATAATAGTTGAGTGAATCCGGTGTCTCCTTCGGCTGCCATTCGAAGCGCTCTTTGATTATACAAATGTTTCGATACTTTTCTTTCAAAAGATTGAGTACTTCTAGTCGAGACGAGTCCGGGTATATCGTGGCCACCAAATTGCACGCATAGGGCCGACTCGCCTCAACACTCATGTGAGCCGAGTCTGGGGTCGGGAACTGTCGATAAGTGGCCACTCCTAATGGCCACTGATATATCACACGATTGTCTACTTGTTTCCAGTCGTACACAATGAATACAAACTTAACAAATCCTCCGTTAGACTGGAGGTAAGGCCGGAGCCAAGAGTTATGGCAGTGTTCGTCGCCCAACACAACCACTCCTATGTTGACAATCTTCTCCTTCAGTCTGTCCACTGATGACAACCAATCGGATGCCAACTGAATCTTGTGTTTGTCGCGTCCGTTGAGAACAAGTATGAGATGGCGGCCACTCATGTGTTGCAATGAATCGGTGGTGAGGAGGGGTCCGCTTCTGAACTTAAACCGAAATCTACTCGTTTTGAGGGCACCCGAGACATAGCCGTTACCCTCAGCTCTGGTTTCAAGACTTCCCTTAAGAATGTGTTGCCATAAATAGAAGCCAATGGAAGCCTTGGACCAGATCTCGATGGATATAATGTCGGAATTGTTAGACAAGTGTTCATTTGTGTTGAGTTCAGTGTCATCCGAGTTGTGATGGTTTTGTTGAGTCCACGGATTCTTAATATTCTTCGGCTTGCAATACAGGCCTCTTCTCAACAGTAACTTAAATTTCATTTTGTGTATTTGTCACATACTTTAGTTACGATATAAATAACGTTTATATTAATGACAGTCAGATATATATCAATCGTAACTTAAGAATCAAATTAACTCATTTAACGTAGCATGCAACTTTTTGTGTTTATCACTGCTATTCACATAAGACGTGAAACATATGATGACAAATGAGCCCAAACTTCATGAAAGCGAGTGTTGTGTGCATTGAATGCAATGCCATTGAGTTTCGTGTTTTTGAAATCCCTCTCAATATTATGGATACGCTATGTATTGACATTTTTAGCGTTTATCATATATATTGAGTTCAATATCTGTTTCATTTAGATTTTCTGTCAAATTTAATTTAATTTATATGTAATTGATTTAACCAATCAATAGGTATTAAATTTATTTTGCATTTTATCAAAAAACACAACTTTTATTGTATTATTGTTTGCATTCAATTCCCAGTTTGTCATAGATTTCTGTAGTTTTAAATTTTATGAAACAAATGCTATTATTTCTTACAGTTAGCAATAGGTACATAAACCGGTGACCATTCCTGATCTACCTTGGTCACTAGTAATAAAGTGAATTTCATCAATGAATTAACAAATACTTTCTCAATATTAATGTATAGTTGACTCTAAATTGAAGGCATTTATTGACATTTTGTGGACTAATTGATTGGCGACTGAAAGATGTCTCACTTCAAAGAGCACATCCCTAATATGATTGACAGACAACTGTTGGTCTGGTATAAGAAGTATCCATCGAAGGCTGCCATTCCTCCATCTGTTAAGTAAGACAACTCAATGAACACCTGATTGTTTGATTGATATGTGAATGGATTGTGTGTGAAGTGAGTCGATGATGAAAGGTCTGGTATAAGAAGTATCCATCGAAGGCAGCCATTCCTCCATCTGTTAAGTAAGACAACTCAATGAACACCTGATTGTTTGATTGATATGTGAATGGATTGTGTGTGAAGTGAGTCGATGATGAAGAAGGTGCACAACAGGGCCCGAGTCCACGGGTCTTTGGTAATGATGGCGCTCACGATATTGGGTTCATTCGGAATGGTTATCCACAGCAAGAGAGCGCTCAAAAGGGGCGAGTCTTTGGATCAAATGAATATTGATTTTCATAAGGACGAGTCCACGGGTCTCTGGTAATGATGGCGCTCACGATATTGGGTTCATTCGGAATGGTTATCCACAGCAAGAGAGCACTCAAAAGGGGCGAGTCTTTGGATCAAATGAATATTGATTTTCATAAGGATTATGAACTAAAACATCCCAAGAAATAGAAGTTAAAGACCTGTTTAGAGATTATTGTCTTATCTTTTAATCAAATGTAAAATGTTTGACATATTTGTGAAATTAATAATATATTTACTAAACAAACAAAACTATTGAATCTAATATTACAATAAAGTGATAGATATTTTAAATTTTACTCAATTTATTTATAACTCCTAAATTTATTACTCATTTCATTATCTAATGTCTTATAAAACATATAAAATGAAGTCATTTAAGGTCTCATCACAAGTCAAACGCTAAGATTGGAGGGCTTATAGAAAGTCCGACACCTCTCGTAAAACACCTTCAGATTATTGTCTTATCTTTTAATCAAATGTAAAATGTTTGACATATTTGTGAAATTAATAATATATTTACTAAACAAACAAAACTATTGAATCTAATATTACAATAAAGTGATAGATATTTTAAATTTCCTAAATTGTAATGAGTAAAGTAATAGATTACAGAATATTTTGTATATTTTACTTCAGTAAATTCCAGAGTAGTGTTCAGTTTGCGATTCTAACCTCCCGAATATCTTTCAGGCTGTGGAGAGCATTTTGTGGAAGAAAAGCAATCAAAGTTTGGATCAGTTATAGTGACAAATAATTTCATAATCTCAGAACCTTTAGAGTCCTATCTTTGACCACTTCCTCTACATTGAGTTCATTTTGCATTAATCTTAGTCTACACCTTCAAAAGCAATCAAAGTTTGGATCAGTTATAGTGACAAATAATTTCATAATCTCAGAACCTTTAGAGTCCTATCTTTGACCACTTCCTCTACATTGAGTTCATTTTGCATTAATCTTAGTCTTGTCTGCTGTTTGCGGAGACTTTTCATAACATCGACGTTGTCTTCACTGACCTGTCGTTCATCCTTCAGGTGTTTCACACGACTCGACACAACACTAATGCACTGTTTTATTGAGTTCTCTCTTTGGGTGTAAGAGTTTTGTATCTTTGGATCAAATGAGATCATAAAGAGTATTATTACCGGTATATCAAGTGATGGTCTAATGGTGTCTAAAACCTGTTCATATAATTGTTTGCATTGCTGTCCGGCATCTGAGGTCTTGTTTGCGAAAGAATCGGTCGGAAGAGAAGTATTGAGTAAATGAATGATATTGTCATCCATTTTACGGCTCTTTTTGAGCGCTTCCTAAGGTTTGGCAACAGATCTACATTGAGATGAACTGCCAATCAATTGACTGATCGGTGAAACAGACCTGAAATGCGAGAAAGTCTTCACACGTGTTGTCCATCATTTCAAAAGTGTTTATTTTTGCATCAATTGGTGTGACTCTGTGTGCGAGTCTCCAGTCAATAACGTTATTGCCATTCAATTGTGTGAAAGAGCATAAATACCCTGGTAATCAGTGTACAATTAGAAGTGTAATTTCTATCATGGTATAGATTGATTTAGCACATTTGACAATCATATACATGATAATTGTATGATTAATAGGACCCCCATTATGTATATTATTTAATAATTACTATAACTATTAATACTAAAAATAAACTTACCGTACAGTTAAAGAATATTCGTACCGGAATACATTTTCGAAACTTAAAATCAATTCAAAACAAATATTTTAAATAATGTAATTTATTTTATTGTCAACATTGAATAATTATAAAATTAAGCATAAATTTGGCTTTAATTGAACACATTTATTTGAATGCAATTATGGTATGTACGGTATTAATGTCAATGAAATGATAAGCAAACTAGCTAAATAATTGCAATATTTGGGTTATACGGTACAGTAGGTATAGATTAATAAAGTACTGTATGATACACACAATTAATGTGATTTAGAATTAAACTTTAATCAAAAACAACAATTATAATTATTACGGTATTAATGAACGACACAATTATTGTGTTAAATGATTGAATGATCAGTAAGTGGCAGTACCACTGATGGCAACTTAGAGAGCGTGGTGTTCTTAAGAAAAGTTGTAAAATCAGTGGCTTCGCAACCAGTATCCCAAGCTACTTATGGTCCAGTATGACAGCCCTTGTGTCGGGAGCTACCCTATGTTCATTTTGTACAGTGGTCTTTGAGTGACATTCTCGGGACTGAAACACAGAATTTATGAGTAATTGAAACAAATGAATAAAAATTGAAAACAGAATACCATTTGGAGAGATAGAACTCAAAGAGTTTGACAGGACATCGAAGTTGATTCTCGACGTTCTCGTAGAGCGTGAGTGTCCTCTTCTTGCGTCCGCGTCCCGACTGAAAGACCAGGCATTGGGTGCCATCGATGGCCCACTGTTTGCTAAGATTACTGAATGAGAAGGACGTGTGCTCTTCCAACTGAACCATATGGAAGTATTTGGTCGACAAAAACATGACAGTGTTGAGGAGCACTGTTGGCGAGTGGGCGCCCAGTTGTCCGCACTCCCAGAGGTGCTCCTCTTGGATGCACGTGAGCTGCGGGTTGTAGTCAACTAAACGCGTATGGATTGCGTGAATGAACTGTTTGTACGAGGGGTCCATAAATATGTTATCCAAACGATTGTTTTGAGCCAAATGTTTCTGAAGGTCGAGACACAGCAATATCTACATCAGCCCTCACATACGGACAGGCACTTGGACTGTCTAGAGAAGGTGCTTAAACGTCTTATAAAGTGAGTTTATCAAGACTACGTTCTCTTCCTACAAAAACCACAAGTATATTGACCACGACTGTCTCAACCAAATCCTTAGGGCATTGATACCGGCGTTTGGCGTATTGGTGGACAACTCACTCTCAACGGTACTGTTGTCGTCCGAAACGGTTTCTTCGGCTTCTTTTTTACGACGACCGCCTCCGCCACGGCCGCGGCCAGAGCTGGTGGCCTGTCCTCTGCCCCGTCCCCGTCCCCGTCCACGACCTCCTCTGGGAGTGGTCACTGCCTCGACCGGTGCCCCCAAAGCGTACTCTTGTTGTTGAAGATCTAATGTGTAGTCGAGTTGTGTTTGAAACACACTTTGTTCTGTCGGTTGAACAACGTTTTCGTAAGTGTTTGACGACTCATTTTCCTCCTCTTCTTCCTCTTCTTGTTCTTCCTCTTCTGAGTCATTGAGAGATACCTCTTCTTCTTCTTCCTCTTCGGAAGACATCTCCCATTCTTCTCGTTTCCGACCGCGACCTCTGCCGCCACGTCCTCTACCTCCTCGACCACCTCTGCCACCGCGTCCTCTTCCTCCTCCTCGACCAGGAGACCCTCAACGGAGTCTACCAGAAGCCGGCGCAAATCTTCACCTAGGAAGTCAGTGCCAGACTCTAGACGCAAAGTAGACAAAGAATCTCCTGCTCAGCAGTAGTTTCCTCAATCACAGCTCGTGAAACTCTTTTAGTTCTCCAAATTGTTGATCCGTTAGATTGAAGCCACCGTTTGGTAGTTCCACCGACTCTTCTGAAGGAGGGTCGGGTTCTATCGGTTCTAATGGTTGTAACGGTTGCGGAGGAGGAGGCGGGGGTTCGGGAGATATAAAGAAAGGAATCGGAAGAGGTAAAGGGACGGCCAATGGCTGCATATATGAGACTGGAATGGGAACAAAGACTGGAATGGGGAGCAAAAGAGGACAAACAGTCTTCGGCATCGGGTCTGTCTGTGTTTGTTGGTCCACATGAAAGGGTCGACAAGACGTGGCTTTAGTCTGATAGTGGGGCCGAAATTGAGTGCATTTGTTTCGAACCACTTTTGCTTCGGGAACCTTCACTACCACTTCCTTCGTCTCTTTGATTATCTCTTTGATTATAGTTTGAGAACCAGTTGTCGTGCCATTCACTTGACTTGTGGTCACGTTTATTGTCTCAGTTGTGGAGGAGAGGGGCGCCATATTTGTGGTGCTGTTTGTGACCGGAGGTAGAGATGGAGACATGTTTTTATTGAGAGCGGCGACCAAAGGCGATATGTTTGCGGTCCTGTTCTGCGCCAATATATTGGGTCTGATTTGTGGTGATTGTGTCGCAGACTGTGAGGCGGGCTTCTGTTGGTTAAAGAAGGATGGCGTCCACATTGTGGTCGGCGCTGACAATGCGGTGGCGTTAGTGTCGGAATCGACTGGACTCTCATTGAGAAGAGTGGGATCATTGGAGGCAATGAGAGACTGCGGAAGATATTGTCGCTGATAGTTGAAGACGCATTGATACGAACAGAAGTTGCGAACAAAACTGCCGTCTCTTAAGAAGAAGAGAGGACTGCCGTAAGAGTTGCACTGTTTGCAGACCATCTTTGCGGTGGTGTAGTGCGCGTGTCGTGACTTTTCCTCTTCGGCCACATCGAAGAGTGTGAGACAATTGAGTGAACAGAAGAGTCGGGACTCACTCTGAGACCAATCGTAGCGCTCGATTAGATCGAAGTTATATTTCTTGACTTTACAGCAAAGACAGGCAACTATTTTGCGATTCTTGAGGACATACATCGACATACACTTCTTGGTGCAGAAGACACGGGTGATGCCCGAGAAGTGGAGCACATGAAGAATGGTTTTGCTTTGACTGGTAGTCCAGCCGTACTTATGGCAGTTCTCGCAGAAAATGGCTTTCAATTGGTTGGTGTACTTGAATCCCGCCAAACAAGTGGATGAACACAACGAATGCTTTTGGTTGTTATACTTGAATTCAATGACATTCTTGGTGTCGGCGCTGCCGCGGCACTGGACGCACGTCGAAGGAGTGCCGGAGCGGGCGTTCAGCATAAACTCGTACTGAGATTTGCAGATCTGGTCGCAGAACTCTCTTAACCGCATCTTCTCTCCGAAGCCGAACGAAGCGATACATATCGTAACGCAACACTTGAGGTCTTTCTGACAGAAGGCGCACACTTTCAGCGACTTCTTGAACGTCTCGAGACACGAACCGATGCAGAACTGTTTGATGATATCACCGAAACGGACCGAATACTTGCCCAATGATTGCCGATTCACTGATGTCTGGCATTGCGCGCACTTCGAGCCGAAGATGAGTTGTCGCGACTGCACGCAAGCGGCCGAACAGAACTCCATTGTCTGCCAATAGTATATCACTTTGTCTTTGACTAACACTCGCCGACAAGTGAAGCAATTGGTGTTCGGCTGCTTCTCCACGTCGTTCTTCAGCAGACAGTCTTCGCTACAGAGAGAGGCGTTCCCTCCGAAGTTCGAACTAAAGCCCTGCTCTCCTATACTGATAATCCTCAAGCAGTTGGAACAGCTGTCGAGTGTCTTCAACGTCTCGACGCAAGCCATTGAACAACAGTTCTGTATCTTATCGTTAATTCTGACCTTATATTTGATTTCTCTGTTTTGTCCGCAAACCAGACATATATTCTCCTGAGTGTCCTCTTGAGTGTCCGTCAAGTCGATCACTTCCACCTCTTTCTCCTCCTTCTGCACTTCGATTATCTCGATCTCCACGTCATCGTCAGCCGTGTCTCCAACGGATCCATTCATTACCACTTTGGGAGCGCTCTGTGGGACGGCAGACGACACCAATTCTAGCATATAGTCCATCAAATCCTTCACGTCTGCCGTCACTTCGTCGTCCATGTCGTCGATGACTGTTACGACACTGGAGAACCCTAGTTTACACAATAGAGACCTCTACAGTAGTCTTGACTCTCTTTCACTATGGTTAACGTTGTATATCAGTTGTGTAAGCAACGTGAGAAGTAGCTACCCAGGTAACGTCTCATCCGTGTCATCCACTTCTGGAGCGGGATATGTGTCCATCGAGTGATCACTAAATCATTTAGAAATGGCTTTTAATTACAATACAAACAAATCATTGATTGTTTGAAACAAATGCCGGAAAATCAGTCAAAAATCGTGTTTTCATTCATTCATAAATGACATCACCTTTTGTTAGAGGATTAGTAGAACATTCACATACAGTATGTCAGTATATACTCAGTTTATTTTGTGCCCCTTTACTGCTGTAACATTGTTTCGCATTATTACCTATAGGTAACCCCTTTTTCTGTTAGCCCTCCAAACGCATAATAATTGGTTACAGTATTTGTTAAGAAATATATTGAATGTACAAAACGTAATGTTTGTATAGTTTTATCGTTTAATTAAAAAATGCTTTTTTAAACATTTGTCACAATTTGTGGTCATTTAATGATCAGTGATTTCAAGTGAAGACATTTCATTGGAGTGATACCACCAATTGAGTCGATGGCAGATAATGTGTTGATATTGAGGGGATCGAAAGGTCTGTCTTTAGTAAATGGAGACAATCCTTACAACGAGCTCAAGTCACTGATCGCTTCCAACACTGTGCGGGCCATTGATGTGTCCACTGATGGCAAATATCTGGCATTTGCTGACAACAACTCTGTCAAAGTGGTGACACTTCCCGGATGTGATGCTGTGTTTGAGAAAAGCGGTGTTAACTTGAATTTCATAAAGTTATCGCCGAAGGGAACCATATTAGCGACTTGGCATCACTTGAGCACATCCAGCGCTCCCAACAATCTTAATCTCTACAATGTCTTCACGCAAACACATCTCATCGGTATGTGTTTGACGTGTTATTAGTCATGAATTGGGTGTCAATTATCTGAACATATGTTAGGAATGGCGCAGAAGAAGCCGAGCCGTTGGTGTCCGCACTGGACGGACGACGAGTCGGTTTGTGTCCGACATCTGAATATGGAATTGAATTTCTATTCAGACAATCACTTCGAGAGGTACGCCCACCGGATGTGCTCACAAAAAGTGGCCAATTATTCAATGGTGACCAACAGTGGCACGGGCTGTCACTACGTGGCCTGTTATACGGTGGGAGTGAAAGGTCAGCCCAGTTTCGTACGGATCTATCAGTTCCCGCGCTTCGACGGCATAGCCATCGCCAACAAGAGCTTCTATAAAGCAGATA